GCCCGTGAGCTGGCTGCTGAGCCTGCGCGTCCGGAGCCTGTGCTCCGCAACGGGAGAGGCCACAACAGTGAGAGGCCTGCGTACCACAAAAAAAATAAAAATAAAAAAAATTTAAAAAAATGGGGAGGATGGGGAGAATTAAAAACACTCATAATCCCATCATAAACCAATAGTTGTTAACATCTGATTACTTTTCTAAGAGCATGTGTATGTATATGCATAAATTTTTTTAACAAAATTGGTTCCATTCTACCAATAGTTTTATATTCTGCTTTCTTCTATTTACGAAGCATCTTTCCGGATTTTTTTTTAGTTCAGCAATTTGTTTACATAATATTCTACTACTCAGATGAGTTGTGTTTTAGTCTCTCATTTTCCTATTATCATATATGCAGGTTAGTTTCAGTATTTTGACATTGTAAATACTGCTGGGATAAACATTCTCATTCATAGACTACTGCCTGCATCTCTCATTGTTTCTAGAAGACAGGTCCTCATTTCCTGTATGTAGGGATATACAGATACTTTCAAGGCTTTTAACACGTTTACCAAATTGCTTTCCCGAACGGTTTATCAAAAAGACTAGTTACTCTAGATGTAAAAGAATGACCATCTGTCCTAAACCATATCACCAGATTCTTTCCCAGAATCATAACTGAGTGTTATGATTTTGACAAAGTATTTGCCAATTTTTAGGCAAAACATGGTATTTCCCTAGATGACTACCTTCATTGCATGGAGCACCGTGTCTCACCCACCTGTCCTCCCCATGTGCCGTCAGCTGTGACTTCCCCAACACAAACATGTTTATTCTGGCAGGACTCCCACTTCCCCTGCCAAACTGGGGAAGTGACTTCCCCTGCCTGTCTAGATCACGTCCTCAAGTGATACCAAAAAAAGAGGAAGAGAGGCTGAACACCCCTTCCTCTGTCCGAGAGTCACTTGGCTGTGCTTGACACCATGATGAGGACTGTCACTGTGGCCAGAGCTACCGGCTGGACAGTCTGCTCAAGTGCAAAGTGGGGCTTCCCACCGACCTCATTCCAGATGACCCACCCAACTCAGCAGAGAGGCTGTGCAGGAGCCCTTGGGAGAAAATGCTGACACTCACTCAGTGATGTGGATCTTCAAATCCACTAACTTTTGTGAACTAAATAGTGATGCTGAAATATCTTTGGGAAGACAGGAAATCCTGAAGCAGATACACATTTGAAGACCAAAGAAAGGCACTAGAATGTACCTGTGGAACTTAAAAACAGACATTGATAATGTCAATGTCAGCAATAGGGACTTATTGGCTTAAATAAGACGATCATGAGATTTTCTCTTTGGGACAGGAACCCTGAAGAGCACATGCTACATAACTGTCCTCAGCAAAGTCTCCCTCCCAACACCAGACCCAGGCCGAATCACTTCTGAAGCAAACTTACCATTTTTTTGTTGTCCTGCTTATTAATGCTGACCACAGACTCCTTGATTACAATGTGAGTGATCTCAGGGAAGTAAGAAAAATTGTTCCACTCTTCCCGGATTTTATTTTTCTCCTCATCCTTCTTGTGTTTATTTTCCAGTTTTTTCCGTTTCAGTTTATTTTTTTCCTTTTCAACAGGAACAACCTGATAAGATACATAAAAGTGACAGAGTGAAGTCAGCTTTCTCATTTTCTCCTGGCAAACCAACAGAAGGCCTGCAGCTGAGGAGGAGAAAGCCAGCGTGCCTGGATTGACAAAGGAACTGGGAGAGTTAGCACCCATGAGCCTATTTGGGTCCCCATGGGCCTATTTGGTCCCAGCAGGGATGCCTGGGATCCTACACCTGGAAGAGATCTTAATGAACACACTGACTAAACTCTTTACATAATCTATAATGTGCGAGCAAACTCAGGAACAGAAATAACTGCTCTCTAGACACGCATCTCCAGTCAGGTCCCCCCACTTGAACATAGGCTTTCTCCTTTTACAATCTATCACTGATTGTCTTGACTTTATAGCCATATTCAAGTTGGAATTTTCAAGAGAAGGTATGAATCCCATGCTTGGATAACCTAGGGAGTCATACATGTCTGCACAAGCTTACGTATTTTGTGTAGCAGAAGTCTTGGAGACTAGAAATCTGGGATAAGATCCTGCCTCTGCCAGTTACTTAGTTAGGTCATCTCTTTGTGCCTCCATTTCCTCATCCATAATCAGAGATCTTACATCTTCACAAGGTTCTTGGAGCAGTAGGTAAGTTCTTATTAACACAGTACCCACACTACACAGAAAACACTTGGTAAGTGTTTGGCACTGTTATTTTAGCATGAAAATAAAATAGGAGTAGAAAGTAAATCTCACCTTTACTTCAATATTATTATTATTTACAATAATAATGATGATGGTAATAGCAGCTATAATAATTTATTGAACATTTATCATATGCCAAGCTCTGTGCTAAACGACATTCAGTTCTCTCAACACTATGAGGTAATACACTAAGTATCGCCATTTTATAGATGAATAATATGTGGCTGATATATGTGAAGTAACCCTCCCAAGGCCATGTGAGTATAAACAGTGGAGCTAGGATTTGACCACATCTATTTAGATTTAAAACCCATGCTTTTAAACCACTCTGCTCTATTGCCTCATCCAAGAAACACTTCAAAAAGAAGCTCCAAATTGCAAGAAAAATTACTCTATTTCACAGAACCAGAGGGCTAAATTAATTCTTGGCATAATCACTATTAGTTAGTTATGACCTTGGGCAAGCTTCTTAACTTGTCTGTGCCTCTGTGTTCATCTATAAAATAGGGAAAATGGTAGTATCTCTCATAGATTTATTTTAAGGAATAATTGAGTTAATACATGTAAAATGCTTAGAAAAGTTCTTGGTACATGGTGACCACTTGGTACATGTCTGCTATTATTGCTATATTATTACAAATTGTATATGTTGTTATTATATTTCTGTTTGCCTACAGAACTCAATAAATATTTATTTTAGATCTACTGCTACATGGATACAATAAAAGATGAATGATACATGGTCTCTAGCCCATGAAATAAACTCAGCTGACAGGGGTGATGAACATGCAAAGAGATAATCCCAACAGAATACACGGAACACACCATGTGACACAGGATGCTCTGTTCTGATCAGCCACCTATCAGCACTTACATTTGGTTTCTGCCTCCACTGGATTCCAAGATTTCCAGTCACCATCACTTCATAGCAGAGAATGTTTCCATTATCATTCGGATGGAACCGATTCATCTCATTTTCTGATGAAATCAGTAGCGTGGAAGTCTCAAATATTTCAGCACCATAATGCTTTGTCAAAGTTTCCAAGGTAGCCAGGTATTTCACCTTCAGGTCGTGTGTGGACACACTGCTGTCACAAATGGTCTTGTTGTTAAACTCCTTTAGGAAATCCTTGAAAACATTATTTATCCGCATCCTGGTGAGAAGGTTCCTCTGTCTGATGGACTTATTCAATGTTTCTGGAATATATCGCTTGTAGCTGAAAGTAAAAAAAAAAAGTCTCTTTTTCATGGATAGGTTAGCAGAATAGTGCAGAAAGAAACCTAAGTCTATAAATCTTCCTTCCCTGTGTTGCCAAATGAGAAAGAAGGGTCTACTCCCAGAGGGTCTAAGATGGAGTAAAACTCTGAGTATGATAATCGTAAGGAGATCGAGGTGAACAGGGACTGAAAGAGAAAAGTACATGTTCCACAGATTTTACTGAAATGGGAAATTCCTACAGGAATCATCAGATTTTCTGGGTCACAAAGGCAGGCAGCAAAATGCACTTATCTGTGTTTTTCTTTGCTAGTGTCACTGTTCCCATGCACACTGGTGCTCACATAAACACACTGTTACTAAGATTCAGCATCAGTTAGAAAGCCGTCTGGAAGGTGTCAAGAGTGACGGAAGATGTTTTGTATGTTCTACTTGCCTATTTTACAGTTTTTCTATAAAGATCAAAAACTACTTTTATAAGAAATGGGAAAAACCCATAAAAGCTAATTAAATACAAAAGATCTAGTGTTTGCCATGTGCAAATGTCTCAGATATATTAAATGGATCAACAAGTAAACTAAAAGATTAGTTACCCATCCAGGTGCTAATGAGAGAGTATCTATGACTAACAGAATCTCAGCAAACAGATATACTGCTAGAACAGGAGCCAGCTTTAAGAAGAGTATGAACACCAAAGAAAAAGAGAACAAGTCCACTGGGGGTCAAAGTGGGGAGACCCGTCGGCCTGTTACTCCCAGGCCTGAAAAAGCACCTGGCACAGGGAAATCCCTGCTGCACAGATGGTTTCACAACGGTGGAAAACTGTGGAGTTTGAAATTTATCCCCAACAAATATTGTAATTTTTTCGATTAATGTAATGGAGAGGAAAATCAGAGGAGAGTTATCATTTTTTACTTTAGCCTCATGAAAAAATAAAGAGGAGGTGCCCAGAGCAAAAGCCACAGAAAACAGAGAAAGTAGCAGAACAGCATATGTCTAATCAGTCCCTCCATTTCTGAGGAGCAACTTGTGATCTGCTCCAGACTCTGGTCAAGGGCAAGGAGATACAAGAAGTAACCTTATGAGAAGATACATGCCACCTATCACAAATAACACCACTATAAATAATTCCCTCTTCAAAATGAGACTGTCTTATGACAATCACAATAGCTCACTGATTTAAAAATTATATTTCCAGACTTCCCTGGAGGTCCAGTGGTTAAGAGTCTGCACTTCCACTGCAGGGAGCACAGGTCTGATCCCTGGTCAGGGAACTAAGATCCCACATGTGGCACAGTGCGGCCAAAAAAATAAAATAAAATAAAAATTATATTTCATAGATGGGTTGGAGTTATGCAGATTGAATATTCCTTCACAAAGACTTGATCACAAAGTAAATACAGTTTTCTTAAGGTAACAGTTGAGCGTGGTTCACATCAGAATTAATGGCTCTCTAGTGAACTAGTTCTGGCTGGGAACGAAAGCAGCTCTGCCTGTAGAACTATACTGAGAAGGATTTTAGGACAGATCCAGCACAAAAGGAAAAAGTTCAGTGATAGATGGCAATGCCCAGCATGGGCAGAGAGGAAGGGGGAGGGCATGCAGGCCACTAATTTGACTGGCACCCCAGCTCAGAACTGTCACCCTAGTACAAATTTCTGAGGTCATCAGCCAACATTCAAAATCAGGACACAGTTATAATAGTGCTACCTTTCATAAATATTCTAAAAAAGAGTTGCGCTCTGCAGAGAGCAGTAGTCAGCCAAAAGCTGGCAGTAGTTAAACTGAGATGTATGAGGGGCTTCCCTGGTGGCGCAGTGGTTGAGAGTCTGCCTGCTGATGCAGGGGACACGGGTTCGTGCCCCGGTCCGGGAAGATCCCACATGCCGCGGAGCGGCTGGGCCCGGGAGCCAGGGCCGCTGAGCCTGCGCGTCCGGAGCCTGTGCTCCACACCGGGAGAGGCCGCAACAGGGAGAGGCCCACGTACCGCAAAAAAAAAAAAAAAAAAAAAACTCGAGATGTATGAAAACATACAAAAATAACACCATCCCCACAATCAATTCTTTAGCCAGCAGGAAGGTTTACCTGATGTCCTTGGGAAGTTCTGGCAACTGCATCTTCTTCATCATGGCATAGTGGGAGATGGCCAGGACGGCCATTCCCAGACACTCGTTCTCAATATCATGCCCATCCTGCTCCGTCTTGGGGTCTCGAATGGGAGCCAGGCATTTGACCAAATCATACTGTCCCTTTGGAGCAGAGGTGAGAAGAAATGAACCACCACTTAAGTTTCAAGAGTCCACTCATGTTTCTGATCTTGAGAGGAAGGTTCCCCACACAGGGAGGTGCTACCCAATAAGCAGTACAGCAATGAGACTAACGAGATTTAGAGTTTCTCTGGCACCAAAGCTCTTTCTCAACAGCTGGGTATGAAGGGGCTTGGGAAAGGTGTCCCCAGGTTAATTCATTCGTTTAATAAATACTCACTGTGCACTATGCTGGGTGCTGGTGAACAGTATGAACACATGAAGCCCCTCTGTGGGGCTTCCCATGTAAGTGATGATGAAAAGCAGCATGTACTAGGCTTGGGCTGCACCAGGGCATGGGACGTGACAGCTGTCTGGGGTTTGATTATTTGTTAACTCCACAACGAACCAGTGTATAAATGACAGAGCACCACACACCCTTCTGATGTAGATTTACAGAAAGGAGAAGGAATCCAGATTCCACACTGCATCATTACCACACGTAAGTTTTTTCAACATCTGCTGTTCAAGTTTCCGGTAGTGGAATGTATCACCAAAATACACCCCCTCACTCACTGAGGCATGCCACATTCCACGAGCCAATGAGGGCTGCTAGGTCCCCTTTATTAAGCCCTAACCTGAGTGCTACGCACTGTGGGAGGTTCCTCTCATTTACTATTTCACTTATTCTTTACAACAGCCCTATGAGGGGGATGCTAACATCATCATCTCTGCCTAACAGCTGAGAAATCTAAGGCACCAAAAGGTTAAATAACTTCATTCACTCACTTGGTAATCATTGATTAACAAGAACCAATTACAGGCCAGATGTTATTCTAGGTGCTAGGGATATAGCAGTTAACCAAACCACATCACTGACCTTACGGAGATTTCCAGGAAAGAAAGAAGAACAAACAGAAATATATAACCTCAAGTAGTTACCAAAACCAAAGTCAATTAGAAAGACAGAATACTGTGGGAGCTGGGGACCTAGTGAGTGGTGGGGTAGAGGGTCAGACCAGATGTGACTGCAGGACTACAGCTCTGCAACACTGTGCTACAGTCAAACTCAGTCTTTAAAGCTCACCAACTGGAAGTGTACACAGCTCTTAGGATTGGGACCTGGTTAGCCTTTCTCCAGCTCAAAAAGAGGCAGACATGAAGTATGGGGGTGGTGTTACTACATAAGGAAGACACTCACTTTCCCTGAAGCAACTTTAGTTTAGTGGGTTTTGGATGGAGGGTTCTCACTGCTGCAGTTCCCCCTTTTCCCCAAGATAGGACTTCTTGTTTCTCTCAGTAAGAAAAGGACACTGACAACTTCTACAAACTATCAAGGACCAACAACAATCATCTCCACCAGCAATGTGTGAAGAGGAGAACAAAATCTGAAACTATTTTGTCTGGCTGTGATTTTCTGTCAATATCACTGTACAACTACCTCACGTAACTCATTCCTGAAGCTCTGAAAAGTCAGGTTCTAATGTAATATTTACTCTTGAAGTATGGTGCACTCTTTTTTTACACTTCCTCTCCCAAAAAAGTAAAAGAATCAATCTCAGAAATGAATATATGTAAAACTAGGAGGCTGAATTCAAAAAGACCAATCTGAAAATGGCCAGTTCACTTATTTTTTCCACACAGTATCTGCCCAGGGCTGTGCCCTGTCCCATTTCTCTACTGTCTCTGAGGCCATTCCTCAGGTATATTATGGAACATGGATAGTGTGCGATCAACAACTAAAGCTGTACAAGAGAATACAACTGTGACATATAACCCACACGTGTAAAAGTATATCCTAAGGAAATAATAAACAGAACACATATTTAGACGTATGTATGAGGCTGTTTTGTAACAGTGATAGCACAACAGGGGAAAAAAATCAAGAAAAACCAAGCGTGTTCAGAAACAAGGATTAGTTAAATAAAGGCTGACTTCTCCTCTGGATTCCAGTCTCACGCTCGATTTCCTAGCCGAATCTCCACTTGTGTATCTCACAGGTGTCTCCAAAAGAGAGCTCCCAATTCCCACCCCTTCTCCAGCCTGCTGCTCCCAGTCTCCCTATGCAGGGAATCACTCCGTTATCTACCAAACACTGCCCAAAATAAATCTCAAAATTCTCTTTGACTCTTCAAATATCCTCACCTTCCACATCCAACTCATAAGCAAATCATATCAAATCCAACTCCAAAATTAATCTCAGATCCACCCATTTTTCTCCAACTCTACTGCCACTACACTGGTGCTACTGGCATCTAAGGAGAGGAGGCCAGGGGTGTGGATAAATATTCCACAATCCCTTACAACAAAGAATTAACCAGCCCAAAGGGTCAGTAGTGCTGCTTTTGAAAAGCTTTGCTCTACTCCGAAGAAATACTTTCCCCACTCCTCCCTTAGAATTGCAGACACTTTTTTATTCTTCAAAGTTCAATATAAATGCCACCTCTTTAGAGGGATCTTCTCTGATCACACTATTTAAATTAGGTCTCCCCATTCAAACCTCCCTCCCCATATTCTCTATGACAAAGGCCTTTTTCTTCATAGCACTTTTCATAATTTCTTGTGTATTATCTATGTATCATTTTATCTGCTTGTTTTGTTTGTCCAACTCGATTATATGTCTGGTGCTTGCAGAGACCATGTCTGTCTTGCTCACCACAGTTTCTGCAGCACTTTAGCAAAAAGTACACAGACACTCAGAACAATAACATATTTTCAAAAACTACATAGTGCATAATACATATCTGCATAATAAAATCAGGAAGCACATATACAAAAATGTTAGTTACCTCAGGGTAATGTAATTTAGGTGACTTAACTTCTCTTTCTGGCTTTCTTCTAGTGTCTTATCGTTCTACCCGGCCACCACTGTGACTCAGAGTGGCCACCTCCTTCCTCTCTGTGACTGCTGGGAAGTACCTTCGTGATTAGCCCTGCTGAACTACACCTTCCCTCACTTATAGCTCCCCTCTGCTCTCTGCACAGGAGGCACTGTAGACACGAACTGAAATGGTAGGAGGGGGGAAAAAGAAAGGAATGGGGAAGAAGTAAAGCCCAAAAAGCCCGCAAGTGGGATAACCAGCCGGTTGGATGCTGAACTGCCTTCCCTGTCCTCACCTGGGGCAAGTCCAGGGTTGGTGAGAACTACCCATGGAACAGGCCATAAAGCATCTTAGCTGCCACCACGGTTGGCTGCGCCAGGGAATCTGACCCCTACCATGTCTTACCCACCCCACAAACTCCAGGCTCTCCAGGGCCCAACATCTTACCTGAGCAAACAGATACTCCAATGAGCTGGCATCAAGGAGAGGTGTTGCATCTGGAACTTTTTTTTTCTCATAGCTATTCTTCTGCTTCTTTGGAGAATGTCGCCATACTGACTGCTCGTTATCATTGGTCCCATGCCAGTTGGTGAAATAGAACCTGTAAGGCAGGAAGATGAATGTTAACTGTGGGAAAGGGGACCTTGGCATGCGTGGGAGAGGCATCCTGGTTCTACCCAGAGCGATCAGTGCCAGAGGTTAAACTTCCCTGAGAAGTAAACAGACAGACCTTTCATCTGTGTAGCGCTTCACTGTTTATAAGGTCCTTTTCTTTTCATTCTTTAAGCACTCTGTGAAGAGCATACTGCCAGAACCTCATCTATGACTCAGGGAGATAAAGTGACTTCCTTAAAATCACAAAGTAATTTCCACTCCGTCTTCCTAGATAGGAAAACACTGCTGTCTAGAACTAGATGCTAGCCCAGCAACTCCCTCCACTGTTAGTAATGCCAGCCTGCTTTGAATCCAAGACCTATTTCACAGTTTAACATTTCTGAAATCCAGTTTCATCATACAGTCAAGACATACAGTTAATGTAGCAGTGTTTCCTAATTCTCAGATGGCTGTTACTGACACTTTTTATCTTACAATGAACAAAGTTTTAAAACAGAAGAAATATACAAATACTACTACAAGCATCAGCTGCAGTGCCCTGAACTAATAAATGCTTTATATACATTATGCTATTTAATGCTTACAGCAACTGTACAAGGTATGTTTCATTGTTTCCATTTTATAGATAAGGAAAACTGAGGTTCCGAGAGGCTAGGTCACCTAAGACCACAAGCCTGTTTTCTCCACTACTACTTTCCTCTGCCATCTGTAAGAGAAACACAATGAGTTCTGGAATGTTGAAAGTGACTGAGCCAAGCTGATCCAGGTCAGCTCTAGGCTACAGACTCAGAGAGTACCTGGGTCTCTCTCCCTTGACATGCCCATGTGCTGATGAAAAACCACCACCGCATGGAGAAGGAACATATAAAACCTCCCAAAAAGGAGCTGCCGTTAAACTCAGATATCTGTCAGTGAGCTCTATTTGCAGAGCCTAGGGCATGCCAGGTCCTGGGCCAGGCTCTGGAACACAAGGGGTTCTCAGGCACAGTCCCTGCCTGCTGTGAATTCCCTGTCTGTAGGCAATCAGTTAAATCCAGGGGGCACATCTCATAAATAGGGCTACACTGTAACTTCCATGGACCCCACACAGTTTTCCTTTCCTCCATAAAAAAAAATATTAAAGTTATATTTTACAACTATGTTGGTATAAAGATGAATATAATCCAGGCTGGATTATTTTTTTTCCTGATTTTAATAAAATTAAAACACTTCTGTGGACCCCTAATAACATCATGAGCCCAAGGCATTGTGCCTCATAGATAAGTTTTTCTTGAACATGAGTATCTCAGATAAGGTGCCAAAGGAGCACCAAGGAGAAAGAAGCTGCTGCCACTGCCAGGGGATGTGGTAGGGAAGGGTAAAGGGTTGGGGAAGGGAGTTGGGACTAGGATAAATAAATACCAGGCTATGGAGTCTGGACCATACACAGAAGGCAGAGGAAAGACTGAGCCAAACTGATGTGAGGCAGGATCCCACTGGAAGAAAGCCCCACAGAAGATGGACTGAAATGAGAGAGGCCAAGAGACAAGCAGGTGCCTAAGGCAGCAGCCTGGGCAATGCCGTGAGGTTTGTGGGGGCAGAGGCCTCAGTGCCTTGCTCATCACTAAATCCCCAGCGCCTAGCATATAACAGGTGCTTAATACATGCTTGTTGGATGCAGAAACAGCAAATGAATGACCTAACTCAAGAAGTAGCAATTAAAATGGAAAGGATGGATAAGAAGTTACTTTAAAGGTAAAAATCAACATTTTACAACTTCAAGTGATTCTATACAGCCCACCTTCCACAAAACTCACGGAAATGACTGATAATTTGACTGTGGCCTTTGGCATCTCTCTCTCAGACAGAAAGAGCCACGTATCCACAGAGTCCACATGCACCATAAACCACAGCTGCAGGACTATCCCCGCACCTTCCCATGTGAGAGTAGAAGCCTGAGGCTCTGAGCTGACAAAGAGGCCATAATTCATGCTGCCCCCAGGCTGAGGAGCCTGCTCTTCAAGGGCAGAACAAAGCAAGGCGGGGAGGACTCCTCCAGGATCGGTTGCCCTAGGCAGGCAGAAAGTAAGAGGTGAACCAGCCCTACCAGCTGAGCAGACAACAGGAAATCTGACACTGGGGCTGAAAAAGATGGACAAGGCCATGGCCAACTCCTCTGACTGCTGAGGGAAATCCAAAATGGAGAGTTCTCTTCATTCATACAATAATCTAGTGATCTACTGTAAGTTCCAGGGGGTCTGCCTGGGAGGAGACAGGTGAGAGGGTCTACATGGGATGATTAAGAGAGTAGCTCAAAGGGCCCAGCATACTCCCTCCGGGCTGAACAAGGACATTTTCTGAGGTTGCTATCTGAGCCCTGTGAGACTAGCCTTGCCTTGGAAGCCTTTAGGTAAGATGTTCAGACAAGATAAGGCAATGTGCAGCTTCTCCACTACAGAAAGGCTGAAGGGAGCCTAAAACAAGGCTGGATCTCTGGAAATTTCCTATAGTCAAAGGCTGAGAGCTCTCTATTTAATAAGACAATAAAAAGAAAAAACCTTTAGATCAGTTAACTGCCAAAATCAACATCTTCCATAAGCAACAAGCATATATTGTATAGCACAGGGAAATATAACCATTATTTTGTAATAACTTTTTTTGGTTTTTACGCGGGCCTCTCACTGTTGTGGCCTCTCCCGTTGCGGAGCACAGGCTCCGGACACGCAGGCTCAGCGACCATGGCTCACGGGCCTAGCCGCTCCGCGGCGTGTGGGATCTTCCCAGACTGGGACACAAACCTGTGTCCCCTGCATCAGCAGGCGGACTCCCAACCACTGTGCCACCAGGGAAGCCCTATTTTGTAATAACTTTAAATGGAGTATAACCTACAAAAATACTGAATCACTATGTTGTACATATGAAACTAATATTGTAAATCCACTACACTTCAAGAAAAATAAATAAATAAATGTAACAACAGGGAATGTTTCAAGGAAAAAAAAAATCAACATCTTCCTAATCGCTAATAAGACAAAAGTAGTAAGTACACTGAAGACAGAAACTGTGCGCTCCTTTCAAAATTAATTATTAAACTTGGGCCAATTCCTGATATTACAACATGCTGAAGGAAAAAAATTAAGAATGATCTAAATAAATGTAGTATGATAGCTGCTGATATTCCTTTGCAGAATGATGTGGAAGAACACTGCAGGAAGGAAGGAAGGAGGGAGGGAAAGATTATCCCCCTTATTGGCGGAATAGACAGACCTGCCAATAAGAGATATGCCTTCCTTGCAAGTTTTTGAGAAAATTATATTACAGATGATTACATATTCTAAGTTTATGTACAGCTATTATATACAACGAATTCTCTTTAGGCTTCTATAGAACTTTACTAATGGATAGTAAAATTCATTTAGATGATAAAGCAAGAAAACTTTTTTTTCTTAAAGAGGAATAAAGAATATGCTTGTCTTATATTAAGATACATTACAAAACAATAGCTATCAAAATTATCTAAAAGCAGAAAACTATAATTAAAGTACAAGAACACAGAGCTGGGATTCCACTGAAATAGTCACTAACATTTATTTTTGTATTACACCTTTTTTAGTGGTGAGATGCTGAGGTTTCAAAATTATGTAGTTTGTTGTAATGCAAATGTTTTAGCTTAGGGTGGGATCTTTTTTTCCAAGTTCAAAGAGCTTGTGGTAACAAAGCAATATCCTGTTGAGGCCCAATGTCAGGTACAAAGTCAAGGTGCCAAAAATGAGGCAGCCATGCACTTCCTGGCAGCTAACAAAAACAGGGAGCTGGCAAAGACAGCTTTTAATCATGAGGCAGTCACATGACCAGCAAAGACGAAGGCCTCAGAGGATTCTAATGCTAACAAGACAATTCACTATGTGTGTAACTGTGAGTAACTCACTTCTCTTTTATGGACATCAGTTTCCCCCTAAAAACTTGGAAGAATTGAATCAGGCAAACTCAGGTGTCTTCCAAGTCCCAGATTCTACCATTCTAGATTCCGAGCCAAGTGGAAAAACCTAGAGGGAAAGAACTAGAACTCAATGAGATGCCCCACTTCCTAGACTTCGAGCTGCAAATACATGTTTCAATGCTGGGTCACACAGCCAACCCCCAGGCCACAGAAAGCTAGATTACACTCTGAAAAACAAATCCAAATATAGTCGGAAGGCTCAGCTGGGTGGGGTGAACGTTTCCCTAAATCTGGGGCGTGAAATCTCACATGACACACACCTCTCCTCTTAAGGTGAGACTGTGGGTGAGTACAGAGAGAAGAGGAAAGTCAGCCCCAGGATGATTATCAAAGAACGTAGATCTGGTTCGGCTTCCGCTGAGAAAAACACCCAGGCCATTGTGGAATGGTAACAACTCTACTGACTCCCCAGAGTAAATAGCAGCTAAAATACTGAGGGCCTCTGAGATCGCCAGGGCTTTTCCAGCATGACCTGGTGTTCCATTAGCATCTGAGCTAACCCACTGACTTAATCACATCTATGTAAGTTAAGATTCTTTTCAGATAGGATTCACCCTATTTATAATAGGGTGAATTTATAAGCTCCTCTGCTAAATATACGTGTGAAAGTATGTTTAGCTAGTATCTAACAAACATACTTTCAATTCTAGGTACAGAACAAACACACTTATAAACTCAAGAGACTACAGTGGTGAAGTACTGACTGCCTGTGCCACCTTGGGAGACTATGTGACATTTAACAAAGTCTACAATATGGGAGAAAAGGCAAGTAAGTACCCACCAGAAGAAAAATTACAGCCCCACTAGATAAAAATCCTCAGGGAGTGGATCAAAACATTCACCTCTTTAGAACAAGACCAAGCTAGGATTTCTAGGTTTCCACTTCAGGCAGTGTTTCTCAAGCTCTCTAGCTGCAACTTTTAGTAAGAAACATATTTATTTTATCATGACCTAGTACATACAGACAGATTACATATCTCAAACTGAAGTTCTAAAAAACAATATTCTTAGGATATGTATATATGCCGATATTATCTATCCTCATCTATTTCTCTCTTTTAAAAAAAATCCTGGTCATAACTCACTAAATTAAACTCATATCCATGATTCACTGAATGAAAAACTCTGCTGTAGGATACTAATTCTATTCAAAATACCCTCTGCATCATAATGATTTCTTTTCTAAAATGTGGCAGAGGAAGGTGGTCAAACTCATCTTGAATTGTTTTCCGAATACTGAAGAAGCCCTGTCTCATACCAAGCAAATACAAAACTTACAAATTATAAAAATGACTATAATACTTCTTGGTAAGTGACTCAGGGCTCCAGGCTAACCGTCGCCCGTCCCTGCATGAGGGAGCCCAGCAGGCACCCATACCTCATCCGGTAGTGGAGCCGGAGTGACATCTTGTCGTCGACGGTGATGGTGCGATTCGGAGCATACCAGAGCTTGGTGTTCTCATCATACAGGGCAAAGAGGTTGTGACACAGAGGAGATATACCTGGGGAAAAGTAAAGAACACATCAGAAAATTAAAGACAGATAAATCTGGCCATCTGTTTCCAAAGCACAACATATGCAAAGACCAGAAATTCTCTTATCCAAAAAATCTACATCATATTCGCAACCTCTTAGGGCCAAATACAACTTCCAACCATGTTCAATCAGGCAGTTTTAAACGAAATAATAAAAAATTATGGCTCCCCAGGATTATATACTATAGCTCCTGGCAAACCAGGTTAAAACCATTTAAAAATAAAAGTCTAATAATATTTCTCATTACAGTGTCTATGACAGAGTCTTACCAAATCCTGCTTCAAAGAAAAAAAGGCTATCTGAGAGGTTTCCAGATACCACCTGATGTGCACCTTGTTAATCACAGTGAGAAACAATCTTAGAGTTTGAGAAATCCCTAATCTGTCTCCTACAGAAAATGTTTAAACAGTTCTAACACACTGTGATTACGCATTAAACATGTGAACAAGTTCCTGGCAGTAGCACATGAAATGTGTGTTAGAATAAATAACCAAAGTGATTTCTATCAGTGATTAAAATCTATTGCCATTAATAACAATACACTTCTTAAGTACTCTATGGTTATCAAAAATATTTTTTATTGGTAGCCAACTAGCAAGAACATATATGCTTACAAAAGGTGGTCCAACAGTGCTCCCTTGCCTCCCTACCTAACTGCCTCCTTTGATACAAGAATATTCAAAAAGATAAGGGAGATGATGAAGCCAGGAAAGTACCTTTCCACTCACTTCTGAGCCCATGATTACAATTCCACAGACCTGTAATCTAAAAGTGTCAGGGGAGACAGGAGAATGATTGCAAGTAATCAATCATTGCTGATATTTTCATGTGTGGTCAGGCCTCAAACTAAGATACAATGAACTTAAAAGCAAAAAAACATGGGAGAACATGAGGTAGCTGGCACTTGTTTCCCAACTCAGACATCTGAAGTGAGACTGACACTGACTGGGACCCCGGCTGGCCCTGCTCACCTAGGCAGGGACTCTCTCCAATGCACACACTAAGTTAAGAAGTTACAGCTTTCTTGGGATCTTCATGCCTCTGCTGAATTCCTCAACTCCTGCTTCTCAAGATATTTGGGAGTTACCCCTTCAGAGTTACACTCCTCCATGTAACAGAGAAGATGGAGCTAAATTTCAAAGAGCATTTTCCCTTGGGAAAAATGGCAAATGGCTTTTGGATCCAGTATTATCAGGACTATGTTTCAGGTAAACAGTTGGTTTTCATTCATAAATTGGCTTCTGTGGACTGACCTAGAAATCTAGCTTTTCTTTATACATATCCATATTTGAATGTGAAACATACATATTTGAAGAATAATTTCTCTATAATCATGGACAGGTCTATAATTCTACCACAGGTCTGATTCAAACAATATTACTACTTAAAAATAGGAAGATGAAAGATACCATTTATATAAAAGTACTGAAAAATAATAACAACACTAACATTTACTGAGGGCTTAGTATCAGGCATCAGGCTAACACACATCTATTACCTTTTAATTCTCCTAACACTTAATGTGGTTAAGTATTATTTTTGCCATGTTACAGGTAAAGAAACTCTGAGATTTAGTCTGATTCAGGGTTACTCAACTACTAAAATCCAGGGCTGGCATTCAAACCTAGATAGAGGTACTGAGGGGGCAAATAATGAGAGCTAAAAGAACAAAAATTTACCATATATTGGTGAAAAATGAGGACGTACACAGACCCCAAAACATCATGTACTACAATAATAATAATAATAGCTACAAGAATCTGTGGTATTCTGTATTCATCTATTTTTAAAATTTATTAATTTTTGCAACAATCCCCTGAGTTGGTTACAAAAGATAATACTCATTCTCTACAGACTGGGCTTAAAAACTGATGCCCCAAATTGACCCTGAGCCCAGAGTAACAGGATACAGGGGCTGTGTCTGTCTTCAGATTCACAGGCTCTCCCCTCTCATCTCCTTTAGCAGCAATTCCTCTATCTCTCACTAACTGCAGCCCAACAATTCTGTACAAATGATCCTTGCTAACAAACTAAGGTTTATACTTGCTATGCTGATGGCAAGAAGCCTGGCTAACAGAATAAACATTATAAACCAAATCTCAAGGTAAAGGGGAAAAAATGACTTAGAAACACCAATTTACATCTAGTTGTTTTGCTAATTACAAATACTTTTAAAGCTGCCGTCCAAAGCTGGTTCCTTACCTACTCTGCTATCTAGTCAAAGTAACCCTAAAATATTAATGCATTTTCCCCCACAATAATCTGTAACTCAGCCAATTTTATCTAGTGTTATGTTTAGTCAGTAAGGATCTACTACATTCTTCCCTAGAGCACCAACCTCTCCCCTTTTATTGGAACTCTTGTATTTAAAGCATTTTAAGCAGAAAGACATATCAGGAAGAAAATGGGTTTTCTAGACAAGCTGTATTACAAACAAGGTAGCTGATTCTTCAAACAACCATACTATCCCCGCAGAGTTGTTCTGAGGACTGAAGATGATTTAAGTAAAGCACAGATCAGACTATCTGCCATCATGGCTAGTTAATCTATCATCATGAAATGAGTTGATTTTTTAAAAACAGCTTTACTGAGATGTAATTTACATACCATAAAGTTCACCCATTTTAAGTGTACAGTTCAACGAATTTTAGTATAGTTACAGAGTTGTATAACCACCACCACGATCTAAGTGGATTAGATCTTCAGTTTCTGTGAATTAACTTTACCTGTCATTTAAAAGCAGAAACTGCTTTAATAGGGAAAAACTGCCAATGACTCCAAGTTTAAAGTATAATGAAGGGCTTTATTTTGTTAGTCAGTTTGGTTTCCTACCTTCTAAGGGCAATAGGCTAACTTTAGTAAGACAAGCCTCACTTTAAAAAAAGAAAAAGAAAAGAAAGAAAGAAAAAATGATTGTCTTGTTCACAGCCTCACTGTCCTTCCTTTTCACAACTTGGCAATCTGACCAAGCCACAAAGTGAGACTTAACTTCTCACTTCAACTTAGCGTCACGTTGCAGGGGCAGGGAGGGGGGTGCCAGGCAATAAGGAGGCAGGTCATGGCAGCATAAGGACAGACCACACTTTTCAGAAGTTTTAAACAATTAATATATTGAGAGATGGCACTTCTGAGCTTGTAACTTTGTGCCAGGCGCTTCACTCATTTAGTGCTGATATTATTCCAATTTCATAGATATAGAGGAAATCAGAAAACTGAGCATTATTCCCTGGTATCCCTGTAGCTCATTAGTGACAGAGCAGGAATAAGCTACTTTGCAGCGAAGAAAGTGAAAAGTGAAACTCTCAGAATTAAATTCACTGGCCTAAGGTCAAATGCAAGTCAGTGAAAGAGGCAGGGCAGAATGAATGACTCCCAGAGCCCACACCTCTCTCCAACTCAGTGGAGGTGCGGGGGCAGAGACACCAGGACCCGCTGGGCCCTGGGCAGCTACCGGTACTCACAGCTTTCCTGCGCCGCCCTGATGCACAGCTCCTCCGCTGTGTACTCTCCGCCGCCCAACCGGAGGGGCTCCCTATCCGACAGATAGAAGAGCACTTCCACCCCTGGCTCAGGGGCCTCCAGATTCACGTCGGTCTTCTTGGAGCTCCTCATTTTAGCACAGAAAGCCATGGCATTGCAGTCCTCTTTTATATTTAAATACTGTAGTGGAAGGAAAATGAGACTATGCGGTCATTCTATGTGCTAAAAGCACTAAGTGGTGAAAGAGTGTTTTGAAGGTAAGCAAGCAGAAAGATATGGTATTGGAAAAGTACCTCCCCCTGCCCCTTTCCTCCCTGAAAATCAAATGTATCAGAGCTCACAGCAGGTGCAACCATGGGAAGCAATCAATTATGCACGCTCATGAATTATGGTTAAGACCATATTGTCAAAAATTAGAGTAATTTTAGACATGACCTGAATTTATTTTCTCTATTTGCATACAAGTTGTAGTTGAAAAATGTGCCTCATTCTGGAACCACTGATGTTAACATTACTAATATTCCTGTTACCTCTACTAGAATCATTTAACTTTTGAATAGACCTACTGGCACAAATTACACTCGTCTTTTACTTTTATGTCTACCTCCCAGTAAACGGCAAGCTCGGGGAGGGCATTAACCATCCTTACCTATTTTCATGCCCCTAGAGCCTAGCCCAGGCTGGCTCTGAGACAGTACACACAGAAGGACTACCGATTCATGTTCATAAGCCACATGAATGGGTCATGAGAATTAATGAGTGGAGCCGGGTCCCTTCACCTCACGGAGAGGCAGGATGATGGGCAGCACTTTGTGGCACCAGAATGTGAGCAAGAAGCCTTGCTTTGAAAAGGTCAGAACCCACTGGTGAGAAGCTTGCAAATAAGTTACTCACCTGAGCCCCCTCAATGGGGAGAGCAACTAGGATCAACGAGCCAACCTCAGCAACTGAGCTTTGGGCATGGTGAGAAAAGAGAGGGGAACTAGGGAAAGTCCTGCATGTTCTTTCTCCCCCTCACCCCAGCACCAATGGCCTCAAACCAATTTCCCTGACCCCAGGTTCCTACTTTCCTCCTGCCTACCAAGTCAACCTTCACTTAGCCCCCAAAGTAATGTCCCCCTAGCACATCTCAGATCCTCTAAAGGCTCCCCATTAATCTAGAGACCAATCCTAAGCGCCTAACAGAGGCCCTCCATCACCTGGCCAGATAGCCACACTGGCCTCATATCATGTTGTATCACTCTCAGCCTCTTACTGCAGGCTTGAAACTCACAAAGCTGCCATCTTCTTGTTACCCCCCCCACCTCACCCCCAAGCCGTTTATCTCATTTTCCTGCCTTTGCTCATGCTGATTCCTCTACCAGGAGTGCCTTCCTACCTCATCCCTTTCAGGGCAAACTTCAATTGCCTTTAGAACTCAGCTCGGACATTACCTCCTCCAGGAAGCCACCTCTGAACCTCCATCCCACCTCCTGAGTTAGATGTCCTCTCTCAAACTCACCACACTGCACTCACCACACTGAATTACTACCCTCTTATTCACCTGTCTGTCCCTCTCTCACTCCCACGTGCTGAGTTCCTTAAGGACAGGGACTGTGTCATTCATATTTGTATCACCAGTGCCTAGCACAGAGCTTGCAGAATGACCCAAAGCAAGTCACGGAGGGAGGGCCACAGTCACAGTTCTCTTCACCAAATTCTCTTCAACAAATTCATGTGCTTGGTCCGTTAGCTGCCCTGGTGAGGTGAGATACTTACAGGAAGGACACAAACCAGATATGCCTCAATACTACAAACTAAGAGGCACTTGGTTTTACTTGCTTAATCTCCAAAATAAATTTGAAGATCAAAATTTTCCAGAGACCAGAGGCTGAAAGATGAGCTCATAACTTACCTTAAGGTACAGATCAACTATCAAGCAAGAAAGTTTTAAAACCCAACACTGAGCCTCCAACTCTACCCCAACAATGAAAAATAGAGATGGAAGACAAAGTAGCTAGCCTGCTTTATAACTTAAGAAAAAACCTTTGTCCTTAGGAATCTAAACAGACATGGCGGGGGAAGAATTTAAAGATGGTATTATACACTTTCACCCTACAGAAATAATCAGGCAAATATACATAATTATATATGTACAAGATGTGGCACCATTTGAAATAGAAAACAAAAATACAATGTCCAACAGGAGAGCACTCAGTAAACAAAATTAAGAATATCAACATAAGGGCTTCCCTGGTGGCGCAGTGGTTGAGAATCCACCTGCCAATGCAGAGGACACGGGTTCAAGCCCTGGTCTGGGAAGATCCCACATGCCGCGGAGCGGCTAAGGCCCGTGTGCCACAACTACTGAGCCTGCGCTCTAGAGCCTGCAGGCCACAACTACTGAAGCCTCTGCGCCTAGAGCCCATGCTCCGCAACAAAAGAAACCCCTGCAATGAGAAACCCTTGCACCGCAATGAAGAGTAGCCCCCGCTCACCACAACTAGAGAAAGCCTGCGTGCAGCAATGAAGACCCAACACAGCCAAAAATAAATAAAATAAATTTATATAAAAAAAGAGAATACCAACATAAAGGAATACTATGCAGCTGTTAAGGTGACATAAAACCATTTGACCCTTGGGCTTCCCTGGTGGCGCAGTGGCACAGTGGCTGATGCAGGGGACACGGGTTCGTGCCCCGGTCCGGGAAGATCCCACATGCTGCGGAGCGGCTAGGCCCGTGAGCCATGGCCGCTGAGCCTGCGCGTCCAGAGCCTGTGCTCCGCAACGGGAGAGGCCACAACAGTGAGAGGCGTGCGTACCGCAAAAAACAACAACAACAACAAAAACTATTTGACCCAACATTAAAAGATGTATATGACACACTGCAAAATGAAAAAAGCAAAACATGTATATTATGATCCTTCTGGTTATGCATTTGTACAATCTGGAAAAACAGACAATAAATTGTTATCAGTGGTGACTATCTAGGAGAGATTACAAGGGAACTTAGACTGTACTTCCCATACTTTTGTAGTTAAAAAAAAAAATCTCCAAAGTAGCACATGCAACATTTGGAATGAACAAAAATTAAAATAACGATATTGAAAAATAAATGGATATAGCACAGATAGTCCTATAAGTTTTAGATCAGTTTCATTATTCTTTATAGAAGCTATTTTCCTTTTTGTCTTTCTTTTAAATATGCAAATGTACATACCTGCATTTATCCAGCTGTCCAATGCCCCCCAAAAAGCAGACTGGATTTTCTTCTCTACTTGCCAAAACCCATTCAGAGCTGAGCTAAAGACAAAGATAAATAAATAAATCAGCTGCAGAGGTAACTGCATCAGAAAATAAGAAGACACTTTCATTAAGGAAGCAGCCCAAACCATAAACAGGCAGGAAAAAGCATTTGGGAGGAAGAAGGTGGGGGCGGG